AGAACTGAAGCTGAAATATCCAATAGCCAACAGGCATTGCAAAACATGTGTTTGCCCATTCCAATTAAGTGCTCCTTGTGCCTAATCTTTGGACAAACAGGACCCTTCCATACATCCCCAACTTCCTTTTCCTTGTTGCAGTACCTTATCATCAGCTGGTTCTTCACTTTGTTCAGTAAGATGTCACATTTAGAGATGTGCTAAAAAAAGCGCACCCAAGTATATATAGCCATTGCATGCTTATAGAAATGCTTGGGAAAATACATAGAACCGCTGCGGCGAAGGCATATGGGATTGGGAACGCGTGTAACAGGTCATTCTCATTATCACAGAATGCACTTCGCCATGTGTGCTGATATAAAGGATAGTGGCAACAAGTTTACATTCAAAACATCAGCACCCAAAAACCTCTCCTGCAAGATGTAGGCAGCATTACAAGCATCACTCCATTGCAACCTGTCAAGCGAGGGAGAGAAATACTGAACGTCTCGAGTGCATACTTCAAGGTTCGGTGATGCAACAGGCCTCAGAACAAGTAGTGTAGAGTACATTTCAACAATTATTTCCGGAAGGTGCAGGTCTATGAGCAGAAAGTAAACCATGGTGAAATATAAGGCCGACCATCCGCAGATCGCATTCACAACCCCCCCTCTTCAGTCCACAACCTCCTCCGACTTCTTAGGCTTTGACAATAGATACCAACCCAGGCCACTCAGGGCAGCAATTGTGCCTGCCAGGACAGCGTAGTTCCTGTTCTTGTCGGATGACACACTTGCAGACACTGACTCTGTTGGCCCAGCCCCGGCCTTCACATCACTTGCTGCAGAGCCTGTGGTTGACGAAGCATGCTCTCCCGAGCTGGGGCCCTGGAATCAATGTTGCATCTTGTGTAAGAGCGACATACAGTTTTATGTTTTCATAATCATAATCTCCAGCAACAAAACAAAAACACATAGCTCCTACTCAACAAGGGCAAACATACATATAACCATAGATACACACCAGTAAAGCGTCCATGATTCCAAGTAAGAGAATTTGTGAAACACATAGCATCAACAAAGCAGAAGATTATGATTGAGCCAATGTTCACGAGAACGCTAAATGGTAAACAGTTGGGCACCTATCATTAGAGTTTATTCAGGCTACACGGTCAAATAAACAGGATAAACGGCCGATTAAATGGACACGGCTAGTAACCGTGTAGTGTTTAAACGGCCTGTAAACAGACTACACAGCCGTTTACGACAACATTGGATTGAATACAAAAGGATGCTGCCCAATTCAATGCTTAGAGATATTGTGTATTGCATACCTTGCGTGCGAGCTTCTCCAGCTTCTCTTGTTCCATTTTCTGCAGTAAAATCAAAATGCAGTTGGCATGTTATCATCATGGCATCAAGAACAACTGCAGGACATATTCAAACAATCGGAAATAACACAAAAAAAAGGTACCGAAGGATTTCTACTTCAAAAGAGGCAATGAAAAAGCTTATCCAAATACCACATGAGCAATTATAAAGCCATGTATGGCACTTAAGGTATAAACTTTTTACAGTTGAAGATGTCAAATGAAGCATTCAGTTTCATTATTCAACATGTAGCACAAGTTTTCACTGCAGTAATGCAGTCATTGTCAATGCAAATGTCTATCTTACAGGCCAGGCACACACACAAAAAAGTAATGTTTCACATATATACTACAAATTCCCAAGTTCTGGAACTCTAATTGTATTATGGAATTACATACTCATAACTAGTTTCGATCGTCTACATAAGAAAAGAAAAAAAGATGATAAAGACCACATTAGCCAAAAGTGGATGATAAAACTAACTTAACTTATGGTAGGTTCAAAAACTCCGAAAAATACTAAGATCCAATACTATAAGTGAAAATACATTCACAGAGTGTGATCAAAGTTCTGCAAAGAGTCAACCAATGAAATGTAAAACCAGAAGCAAGTCACAAGAATTGATAATGTCACAATATACAAAAAATTGCAACATAAGCATGATGAACCAATAAATATAAATTAATGTATTACTGGATCATGAGTGCAGAATACTATCCCGATGTGACTAACAGACATGTCTACACCACCACATGATTTTGTTCTGCAGTACACTTGCAGTCTCTAACTACACTATAAGAAGGCAACATTTAAGAAAATTCTCAAGACACATCCTTCCAGAGCTCATACGAACAACAGGCTCATATGCCTTCTTTTATTTTAAAATTGTTAAATCTAAATTTTAATAGTAACACGTGCAAAACTATCTTCTCAAAGCTGTTTTGGTCACACCAATGAACTCGGCATGACCATTAACTTGGCCATGCCAATCCATTTGGAGTGACTCAAGGCGAGTTACATTACACCAAGATGATCGGAGCAATTGTCATGCCTAATAGCCCGACGTGACTCGCCTCTTGGGTCACACCAAGCAGCTTGGCATGACCAAGTTGGAGGGGTCATACCAAGCTTGTTGGCGTGACCTAACGGTCTAGATCTTGAAATTTATTTTGCACATGCTAGTATTGATTTTAAATTAAGAAAGGCTAAAATAAACAGATGGCATCCAAATCCAATTATAACAGGCTTATGTGGATAGCATAACTCTTAACACCTATGGCTTAAGGTTTACAAGTGAAAAACTGCAACACAAACAACATTCACATCCATGATTCCAGAAACAAATGCTTATGTGGATCACAAGATATTTATGCACTAGCTCATTAAAAATGATGATGGATGCTTTGTAAGGAGACAGAAAAATAGTCAGCTAATGATATCATCGTATACAAAAGAAAATAACATATATGCTTTCAATGAGCCCACAACAATCTGACAGTAACAGGAGCTTATAGAGTGACCTTCATAATTCCAGAACCAAAAACAACCCACACTCAGTCAAGATCATAAAACAAATAAGCATACATCTCAAACAAATGCGGACCAACAGGAACAAAAGTATGGCCAGGTGGACAGCCACCACAAATTGATGTGTTACTGGTTCAAGAGTGCAGGATACTATCCAATTTCATTAATAAACAGCATGTTTTAAACCACACATAACCACATTCAGCAGCATAAGAAGACAACCTCACAAAATTCCCCAAGCCACAACACTTGCGGACACCACCATGAGCGCCAGGCTTGTATAGATGGTAGACAGGCCACATCAGAACAAGTATTTCATGCAGTACATCTATCAGAGCATCAGTATAATTTTTAACAGCTAAAAGTCAAAACCTGCTAAAGTCACAGCGTTCATATCCATGATGCAAGAAGCACACATCCTTATGCAGATCACATCATCACAATATATTTATGCATCAGTTTAGTAGTACAATTATGCATCGATTTGAACATTCGTTTAACAACAGGAAACTAACCAGATACACGACAAAAAAAAAACCGAAAATTAGCATGTATGGATTTCTCAAGCTATCATAAGCTGTGATTATATCACCTAACTAGTAGTGTTCCCTAACAGTAGTGTAAGAAAGATAGAGGCCTTAACGTCAATTAAAGGAATGAAAAATAGCTCATATAAAAACCACGCTTTCAAACTAAGCATAAGCACAGTGAGTCCTGGGATGTCAGTAGGGAGGCAAGTGAGTTGGTACATGAGCCCACATATAGCCCATTTTAAGTGGGTTACAACAGGTAGAGACTCAAAATAGCCAATATGTGAGTTCATCGACCAACCAACTTGTGTAACATGGAACCCTACTTTGTAGAGTGAGTAACCGCAGCAACGATTGTACATGAACTAGTTCCAGAAACTAAAAAAATTGCACAATCTCAGACATCACAGAGTCAAGTAGCATGCATCTCAACAGAAACAGTACTAAGAAAGAACAGAAGCAAGGCAGAGGTGGAAAATCAACAAGTTGACCACATAAATCGGCACTGTAACAGGACCACTCCAGTGCCAACAACAAGCAACCATTCACACCACATATAACCCTCAGTCACCAGCACAATCCTTACCACACTACAACAAGGCCAACAAGGAACCCTAGGGAAAAAAAAAAACTCCATTCTCCATGTCCCAACACGAGCGGCGGTCACCACGAGCACGCGGTCACACAGAAATACCGCATCACAAGTCCGCTCCAACACTTACGGAACTAGAGGCGAGTCCTAAAATCGTATCACCGGTCACATACCCACAAACGCGTCTCGATCAGGAACCGAAGGCTCGAGCAGGTACCACAATAGAGCAAGGAAGGAAGGGCGAGAGAGATAGGGGAGAAATCCGGACCTTGATGTACACGTTCTCGGCGGCCTTCTCCTCCTCGCTGAGGACCTTGCCGCCGGAAGACAGGAGCCTGCGCTGCAGGAACCTCGCCGCCGCCCTGGTCGCCATCGCCGCCGATCGAGAAACCCTGGAAGACGATGACGTCACCCGCTCCCTTGCTCTCCGCTGCGCTCTCCTTGCCGATTTGCCCTCTCTCGAAGAAAGAAATGAGTTGCTGGGAGCGGCTTCTGGACCCCTTGGACCTTGGAACTGAATAACAACGCCAGGCTGTGCTACATTTTAATTTTGACCCTCCTAAAACTTTTGCATGTGCACTTGTGTTGTACAGTCCTTCTTAGGGAGCGTTATGTAATAAATAGATAGAACAAGGAGTACTCTGCATGTATACGTGCTGCAGTGGTAGGGGTGGTGCTCCAATTTTTGCAGACAAGGGGGCGTAAACGAGTATATGCATCCCCGAAAATGCAGTTCCAGCCCTCCGATCGGATCAGACGGTGGAGAGCACGCATCACCAGCTCAAAACCCTACAGCCTGCTCGCTGCAGCTTTTTTGGCTGCGGCTGCGGCTGTGGCTGTGGCTGTGGCTGTTTTTAGTGTAGCCACAGTATATATCAATTGATTTTTTGCAGCCACAGCTGCAGCTGCAGCTAAAATATACCTGCTGCTCGCCCCGATACGCATCGCCTCCCGCCGCCGCCGCCGCACCCTCCTCCCCGTCGCTCGCCTCGCGCCTCCGCCATGGTGCATCTCTCTCCTCTCCTCTCCTCTCCACGCACCCGCGGCCCGACCGTCTGTTGCTGACCGTTTCGGTTGTTCTCTCAGGCCCCGAAGAAGGAGAAGGCCCCGCCGCCGTCGTCTAAGCCGGCCAAGTCCGGAGGCGGGAAGCAGAAGAAGAAGAAGTGGAGCAAGGGTAAGCAGAAGGAGAAGGTCAACAACGCGGTGCTCTTCGACCAGGCCACCTACGACAAGTTGCTCTCCGAGGTGCCCAAGTACAAGCAGATCACCCCATCCGTCCTCTCCGAGCGCCTCAGGGTAATCTTACATTGCCTTCACGGCTTCACATGTATGGAACTATGTATCGATTCCTGCTGTGTACCTAACTGCCTTCCTGACGATAGAGCCTCAATATGGTAGTTGTGACCTGTATGTTTAGCATCTGGTGAATGAACTCGGCGTGATTCCCCAAATGATATGATAGTATAGTAAATGGTTAGCGATACATACTGTAGTCTCCTGTACAATTAGAGCGCTTGTGTTGTCTCTTATGTTTTAGGTAGATGGGTTTAGACTTGCATCATACAGGTTTCTATTCCGGATGTTTTGCATAGATAAATTTTCGGTGTGGCTCAAAACAATTCATCATGCTTATTTTGGTGTGGGCTGTAGAACTTGTTTAGCTGGTTGGATACGATTGTAGGAAAGCAGGATACATGTTTGTGGCCTGTCATGTAGCATTTGCTTATACTGTCTTCGGCCTTTTTTAGTTTCTCCCCCTAAAGTTTACTCCCTATCCAATCGAATGTTTGGACATATGCATAGAGTATTAAATATAGACTAAAAAAATAACTAATTGCACAGTTTGCGACTAATTTGCGAGACGAATCTTTTAAGCCTAATTAGTCCATGATTTGACAATGTGGTGCTACAGTAACACATGTGCTAATGACTGGTTAATTAGGCTTAATAAATTTGTCTCGAGGATTACTGATGGATTCTGTAATTTGTTTTTTTATTAGTATCCGAACACCACATGCGACACCACACCTGATGTGACACCCCAAAACTTTACACCCTGGATTTAAACAAGGTCTCATTTCGGTTTATGTGGCTATTTGCATTGGTTAGATTGTTTATAAAATGGTTTGCAACCAGTGCAATCACTTGGGATTAGGGTATATAAAAGATCAGTTTGGAGTGTCCAATATGTTTGTATTCTGTGGAAGGCTTGATGATTTTATACATAATCACATGTGTATTTCGGTTATTATTACAATCAATAGCTCAGAGTTAACATGAATTGTGTTGCGGATGAATGATTCACTCACATGTCTATTTACCATTTGTAAGACCTCATTTCCAGTCCTGTTACATGGATGTTCGTGGTAGTTTCTCATGCTGTTGAGTGCAATACAGCTTTCTTTTGCCATTAATCAGTCTTAGGTTGTATGCAGTAGCTAAAATTACTACTCTCCATACTAGAAGGGTTCCATTCCTCAGAGCTATTTCCTTTGTGTTTGCAAATGTGTTAGTTGAGTTTGATTTGGTGCATCATCTAAGCATATGTTTCTCCTACTTGTTGCTTGCTATTTGTTGAACTATCTGCTTGTGCTGTATATTCAATTTATCTCATTAAATCAGCTTATGAATAAATCAAAGTTTGTTTCCTTTGATCCACAGATTAATGGATCCTTGGCACGGAGGGCCATTAAGGATCTGATGGCAAGGGGGCTCATAAGGATGGTCTCTGTTCATTCCAGCCAGCAGATATACACCAGGGCAACCAACACATGAAATGTTTTGCATCTTGTCAACGTTATCTAGTCTAGATGACTTGATGTTGCTATTATATTTCAAGTTTATTTCAATCATGGCTCAGTCAATCTTACTGTTGTGCTGAATGTTGAATATTTTTCAAATTATTGTATTATTTTAAGCTCATGTAGCCATCCAAATATTTATCTTGATGAGGAATGTCAACCTATCTCTGCTCTGCTATTATCATGAATTCAGTTTTATTTGACAAATGCACTTGTAGTGTTACCCAGAGCAATTTTTGGGTCATGCCTATGTCTATCAAGGATGTGATTTCCTTGCCGTTTGTGTTAAGGCTTGGAAATGCTAATCCAGGTATCTGTGCTAGTTTATGGTGGATTGGTACTTAGGTAGAACAGGAATGGTGCTTGTGCCAGTCCAAGTAACGGTTATGTATAGTCATTGCTACGTATCTAAACATACCGTATATTTAGAGCAAAAATTATGTTACCTAGATATATGACAAAAATTATATTACTTAGAAAAAAAAATGATTTCAAATTTTAGAACTAAGGGAGTAGATGTTAACCAGTCTGAACATATGTTATATGACTTTTATTTAAATTACTAAATTCAGCTAATTGAATATTACCACTGACCTTAGAAATCTGCTGAATGTTTTTAGATTACACCATTAATTAAGGTCACGTTGGCATGTGCCTGCCATGGGATCTATTATAACTTAAAAGGAGATGAAGTCTAATATATACGTTGAAATGAAGTCTTCGTCGGGTTCATATTATGTTTGTGCAAATTTAGTGAACCCAGCTGATAGCAGAGTCTGTTTTCACTCGTAATGCTACTTAAGCTATCAATCTACCAGCTCATTCATGCGACCTATCACCTATCTAACTTAGACCTGTTCGGTTTCGGGGAGACTGGAGAAGATTGAAGGTAGTTGAAATCCTCTTGGGGAAGGGAACTAATCGAACAAGTTCTTGTATAAAAGTAAAGGAGATGAGGTGAGTTTTTTTTAGGTAGCATGCATGGATGCTCTGTAGGAGGCATGTTTAGGTAGCCTATTAGAGATGCTCTAATCAATTGAAAACTTCCTCCATCTAGGAATTATAGGTGTATTTTATTTTAAATATGGAGGGCGGAAATCAAATTTTACAGATTTTGATCAATAATCAGTCAAATTATATGAAAGTTTAGGGCATAAAATTTGGGTTTGCCTCAATCTTTTAGCAATTGACAACGTATTGTAAGAGAATTTGAAATCTGACCTTAGTCAAAATATGCTTATCAGTTATGAACAGAGGAAGCATAATTGAATAATTTATGCACATTCACTGCATTCTACGGTAGAACAAGTCACTTGAAGTGTCACATAGGTATCTGCTGTCATCAAGGAAAAGAAAGAGCCACGGGTGGATATTCCTATTTTTGATCAACAACGAAGCCGTGATGATTTCTCTAGAAAGATTCTTGGTCATGGCTGTCCATTTAACATGGCTGAACACTACTATACAAGAACGTTCATCTATAATTTGCAACCTTCATTCAAATTGGTGCACCGAACTTCTCGAAAAGATGATTGCATGAAGATTTATGATGAGGAAAAGTTGAGGCTGTACCAACTGTTATGACTTATGACTGCTTCGAAGATGTAGCTGGTGTCGCGAACTGGATGACACAACTTGGATGCCTTCTTTTGAGTTTTGATAGTTGTTGTGTATGTATCTGTTCTCTGAATCAAAGAAAAATCTTGGCTCCCTGGTCATTGTAGTGTTGTTGACTTTTGTCATCGATTACACCATTGCTCATGATTATGTGTTCATTTGTCAGGAGTTCTCAGAAGGCAGATGTTCTCAGCTGAGGCTAAAGAAGAAGCTGGATTTCAATGCAAGGAAGACTGAAATACCATGAGAAATAATTAATACAAGTGTAGTTCATCAGTTGAATCGATCGTCTTTGTAAGTATCTTACTAGTGTCGGTGCACGTTGTAATCTAAGTTATAGTTTAAAAGTTCATGGCCATGGCTGAATACTTTTTTGTCAGTGTTTTGGATAGTTATGTTGGACTTAGAGAAATGAAATTGGTTGTTTCTTATACTTTCAGAGACGTGTTTTAGAGAACAAAACTCATCGTATTCTGAGTACTACTGCTCTTGTATTTATACTCAGTGTTTTGGAGACGTGTTTTAGAGAACTGAAATTGGTTGTTTCTTGCTCTTGTATTTGTATAATATAATATTACAAAATACTGCGGCAGCCGGCAGACCACGACGCGCTCGTTGGCCTGTCACCCGTCGTATTCTGGATAATCCCCATACCCATATGCTTTACCCAATTATCTACTGGGTATGGGTAATAAGAGATGAAGTATGGGGAGGTGCGGGGTGGACAGACAGCTTATGGGTTTGGACATGGGGAAATCCGGGTTTGCCCAAATCTAGCTACCCAACGGCATCGTTAATTCTACCTACCTTGAACACATAAATAAATATTTGTTTGATTGGAAACGATTACCTAGTTGTATATACACGATATAAACGACAGATGCGATTTGTTGCTGCATAAGCTTTTGGGACCTAATTCAGAGCGACAGGATCTCGAGGATTTATAGAGAAGAAAATAGTAAATTTAGCTTATGTTGATGCTTATGCTGAAATATTATGAGAGAAAAGTATTGTTTTATGGCTGAAAAGTAGTGCTGAATAAGCTCAAGCGAACAGAGCGAATATTTAGTAACTACTGCTCCAATTCGCGGGTGGCGCCGGCCTCGACCATGTAGTCAGTTCGCTGGGTCGGTCTTGAAGGCGATCTCTGCGGAGCAGTGGATGCACTTGAAGTAGAAGCGGAAGATCTTGACGGCGCCGATGTGCCTCTTGCCCTCGGTGAGGTCCTCCTTAAACGCGACGAACATGGTGCCCTTGTCAAGATGTAGACTGCAGGCGTCGCAGCGGAGGCGCATCGGCAGCCTCAGTCGCGCTAGGCGCGCGCGCCTATCCCTCAGCTTGGTCAACACCATATCTATCTACGCGAGGGGGTGCTACGGCGTCGGAAACAGATGGGCGAGGTGGCGGCGCTCGATCAAATCTATCTACGCGAGGGGGGGGGTGCTTATATAAGGGCCTGTTTGGATGAACTAGGACTAGTGATTAGTATAACACCCTAGGTGTTACACTATAAATCATTTACAAAAACATATCATGAGCATCATGTTTATGTGTTAATGCATGTGATAGAGTGTGTAGATAAGTTTCTTGTAACTTAAAATGATCAATAAAAATATTAAACGAAAGTTGATTCAATAGTCCATGTATATCAAGTAGGGTTGAAAACTAATTTTTATTAAGCGAAAATACTATAGAACGTGTGTGTGATACTTAAATAAAGTTTGAAGTACAAACTTTGTAGATGATAGTAAAATACTTGCTGTCGAAAAATAATATTACTAGCTAATATTTCCATTAGCTTAGAAAACGCAAATTGAAATCAAGTTCAGCTTAAAAACTTAGAAAATTTTCAAGTTCGTCAACAACTAGACATTGCTATGTTTAGCAAATTATTTTGAGAGATTGGGTTAAAGGGTGGTGTAGTGTTATAGCTCGATTTGGTAGTCTCATATTCCATCTTTAGCATGATGAAGATGGTTTGGCTCCTGAAGCAACCGTTTAGTCGTTTGGGGCGTTTTAAAATTCGTGTGCGTCACATGTCTCGGGTTGATTGGCGCCGTGTGTGCGGTCACCGCGTGGCCTCCCCACGCCGCCCACATGGCCGCGTCTCGCGCGTTCACCCTATGCCACCACGCTGGGTCGGTCGGGCCATCTGGGCTTGGCCGAGGCCGGCCGCAACGAGCCGTTGGCCCCGCGCGCTGCTGCCCTGCCTCGCGCTGCTGCCATTGGTGCCGCCATGGCCGCGCTGCGCTGCCGTCGCGTCCGCCCACTGCTGCCTCGCCACACTGCCAACCCTCCTCGCGTCGTGACGCTGCCGCTGTCGTCGCATTGTCATCACATCCGCGCCTGTCCGCTGTAACCCTGCACCGCTGTCGGCCTAGTTCAAGGCCGCCGCTGCCGCGCGCACGTGGCCGAGCCACCGTCGCCATGTCATTTTAGACACTGCGGCCGCGTGGGCCACGTTGGTCGGACGCGCGCACGCCTTGTCTGTAGCGCCTCGCGTGGGTGCCCTGATCGTACCGCTCGCGTCCCACCAAGGCGAGGACGAGCCAAGCCACCTGCTGCTCCCGTCTCTCTCTTTCTCTCTTTCTTCTTCTGCTGTCGTCATCGAGCCACGCCATTAAATTCGTCAGGGAAAGATCACCTCAAGTCGATTCGTCGCATTGCTGGCTCCGTCACACAGCTACCTAGCTACCCGACCCCACCTAGCTTTGAAGCGAGCACGACCAAGCTCCAATTTGGAGTTTCTTCTACCGCTGTGCCGATAAGGCTGCATCCAGCCACTGATGAGGGCAGCTCTCCCATCGTCCCTCCTGAGCCAATTCACCTGCACCACTAGCATCGCCTTGACTCCCTCTCCACCTTGCGCGCCTTAGTCGAACCGTTATCGCCTCCCCTTCGTCGCTGACGCGACCGTGCCACCACGGTGCGTCGCCGCACGGCTCGACCGCACGTGGTCAACCTTCCTCCATCATCCTCCGCCTCAACTGTCACCTCGGCGTAGTCCATGGTAGCCTCCTGAAGCTTACGCGCTAACCGATTAGGTTTGTAGCTGCCCCAACTCACCGGAACAGTGGTGCCGCCGTCGCGGATGGCCGCGCGCCACTGCGGCCTTCCCCCAATGAGTTCCGTCACCCCTCACCGCCGCTTAGCATAGCCGCTTGGGTCAGAGATGGTGATCCACCCGTTAGGTGGGCCCGCGCAAATCCTAGGTGGTGGGCGTGGCAGGCTCACCACCACTTTCATTGGCATTATTGCATACTGGGTCACCGAGAAGTCTTGTATGGCGAATTAGGGAAAGGCCAGGGCGTTAAGTGAGAAGTTCTAAGAGAGGGGAAAATAGCGCCAAGAATTAGTTGTAATTCAGAAGAAGTGCGGGGTCTCTTTTATAAAGTCGTCGAGCGCCAGAGGTTTCCCATTGTGGGCCATCTTCGCCATGGCGGCGGCAAAGGCGCATGGGCAGACGACAGACCATTACAGCAAGCCAGACATGGCTGCGTCGCGTCAAGGTAATGCACGGGAGAATTCGTTTTTCTTTTTCATAAGGAATTAGAAATAGTTTGCTAATATAATTTTTGAGCTGATCTTTGTTAATTATATAAAATCATGTAGGCGTTAAAAAATTGTGGAACAAATTTTGTTAAGTTTCTAAAATTATGCTCTATCTGTTTGTGTATTTAGTTCATATATGTACGTGTTGATACCAGGAGCTATTAAATCATTTAAAAATGTTTAATGTTGGTAGGAGAATTATTGTAGGAATTTTTATGGTAAATTGATGATAGCTCTAGTCCTGAAATTTTTATGGTAGCTTCATTGTATTATTATATGCTCACTGTAATTTTTATAACTTTAGAATAGATTAAGCATTAGGGTAGTTAAATGCTCTTTATTTCAAATATGCATTAAATCATTAGTAGGAATAAACATATATCCTTTATTTGTAAAGCTAAGTGTTTGTTAGTTGAACCCAACACTTTGCTTGGTAAAAATGATAGTTAGATTAGTACCTTAGTCATTAGAGCTAGCTTAGTAGCTTGGTATGCGTATTCTTATTGTAAGAGTTGCTGTTGCATAAATGCTAAGTGTTGCATCATCGTTGCATGCATGTAGAGAACGAGTTGGTGGAGTTCGTAACCACCGGAGAGCATGAGTACGAGGAGGTGATCGAGGAGTACGAGGAGGTCCTCGTATAGGAGGAAGCCTCGGAGCCACCGACGACTGACATAGCTGACAATCCGCCTGCCCAAGACAAGCCCCGGTGCATAACCCTTATTTTGAATAATCACTGGATATATATATATGATGTGCATTTACGTTATAGGATTTATATTGAAACTACATGCATAGATAAACCTACCTATGAGTCCTACTAGCATAGATCGAGTAGCTGCTATGCTTAGGTTATCAGTAGCATGAGTAACCTACCGTTATTCATAATAGGTGATTAATATTATTACTCTCATGATAAAATAGTGAAAGGAAATGAAGATCGAGCAGGGATATGGTACGGGTATTGGTGGGTGTAATAGGTTGTGTCCCATGGCCAATGGGGCATAGCTTGGTTACACTGTTTTCCCTGTCCATGTCGGTTAAGGACCGTCCGTTGCTGTGGATGGTAGTCAGGTCATAGACTTATTATCATGAGCACATACTTGCTATGGGAGCGGGAAGGCTCGTTGCTCTCTTGTCGTGAGTTCCGGCTCTTTCCGGACCGACTGATTAGAGGCGAGGATGGTGGAGGTCTAAGCACCACACTGAGTCCGGGACTCAGGAGTGGAGGCTTGGAATCTAAGTTTGGACGGGGACCTAGACCCCTTGATAGGAGAGTGGTGAGTTGGTCTTGCTTGTGCCCAAGGTACAAGCGGGCCATGTGTTTCGGGGTACCTAGCTGGGATACATTGGTTCACAAATCATCATGTGATACGGTATGACTTAGCTATGGTCTAGCACCGTAGTAAGAACTGAAAGATGAAAGGGGTTGAATGGATCTGATTGCTCAACTCTTACTTAAAAGTAGAACAGGTGCTTACATAGAATGGTTATCTAATGAACTAATCCTAACTGCTAATAAAACACATACATAAGAATTCACTACTAGTAATGCTTTTCACAAAAAGGAAACCCAACAAACCATAAAGCTTATCATATCCTTTAGAGTAGGGAAAATATTCTCACTAGTCAGGTAAGTCTTGCGAGTACATTGTGTACTCAGAGGTAATTTACCCCTGTTGCAGGTGCAGCTTGAGGAGTGGTTGTTGTGTGGAGGATTCTTCTGGTGGGCACAGACGGATCCTTGTATCTTATCATTAGATGTTTATTTCAATTCCGCTGTTTAAATTCTGCACTCTGAACTTGGTATTGTAATAATGTATTTCCGAGAACTCTTGTTGTATGAAATGGACTAAGTATTGTAAACTCGTTCTCATTATTGGATTCTGGGTGTAAAACGTGGATTGTTCGAGTTCTCCCTTGGGGTGTGCTCGATGGAACCGCCTGGTGTAGCTTACTTTCAGGGTGCTTAAAGTATAGTAGAAGACAAGCGCCTCCGAAGATGTGTTATTTTGGGCGGTTCTGCCACAGGTGGTATCAAAGCCAATAATATATCTATGAGTTTAAAAATTCTTTTTAAAACCTAAAATTTGATCAACAAAAGCTTTACGAAAAGTAGGATGCGATAAAATTATGTAAATAAGTATAAGCCCTAGCAATATGGTGTATCTAGGATAGCAGCACTAGTTTATTTAATCAATTTTTTGCAGGTACACTAACTTACGCTGCGTAAGAATCGTTTAGCAAGCGGAAAGTGAGTGTGCGATGTGCCGAAATTTTTTACGAATGCCGCTATATTCCAGCTTGAGTGAACGGGTATGCGTATTCTTATTGTAAGAGTTGCTATTGCATAAATGCTAAGTGTTGTATCATCGTTGCATGCATGTAGAGAACAAGTTGGTGGAGTTCGTAACCACCGGAGAGCAGGAGTACGAGGAGGTGATCGAGGAGTACGAGGAGGTCCTCGTATAGGAGGAAGCCTCGGAGCCACCGACGACTGACATAGCTGACAATCCGCCTGCCTAAGGCAAGCCCCGGTGCATAACCCTTATTTTGAATAATCACTGGATATATATATGTGATGTGCATTTACGTTATAAGATTTATATTGAAACTACATGCATAGATAAACCTACCTATGAGTCCTACTAGCATAGGTCGAGTAGCTGCTATGCTTAGGCTATCGGTAGCGTGAGTAACCTGCCATTACTCATAATAGGTGATTATTATTATTACTCTTATGATAAAATTATGAAAGAAAATGGAGACCGGGTAGGGATATGGTAAGTGTATTGGTGGG